TCAATTGACTAGTCTTTATTTGCACAATGGGACAAATAACAAAGCTGAAGTAAAAAACATATTGCTTGACTCAGTATGCATTGTCGATAAAATTTCAGATAAATTTTACTGAAACAACGGGCCAAAGATCAGAGAAGTAAAAGTAGAAGTATTTCTCCACTGTCTTCAATGAAGAACAGCAACTGCAGTGAATGAGGAAGAGGATATAGCTTCCCTAAAAAAACATGTTGAGCCTCAACCATCTTTCCTGTAATGGACAAGAGGATCTTCATAATCTATATTGGAAGAGTGGCTATAAATCAAACTGAATTGGATCGTGTCCTTTGAAAATAATATTTCACCAATGATTTCATAGCACAAGCAAAATAGCAAGGGAAGAAAATAGTGCATGGACAAATAACTTCATAGAACAAATTGTTGAATGATTGCAAGGGAGGTGCATACTTCCTTTTCCTGTTGCCCATAGCATTTCTCATGTCATTCGTCGGCATATTAGTGCCTGGAGTTCCCACAAACTGCATAGGAGACATTGCAGATGCACCACCTGCTACCACAGGTGGCATAGACGATGTTGGTGCAGGAACAGGTGGAGCTACAGGTGTCGGAACTGACGCTGGTAGGGGCAATGTAGCAGGTGCTTGTGAAGGTGCAGGTGCAGGAGTTGGTTCAGGAGGAGGGCGTGTTAGGATGTGCTTCAGTCTGTTATTCCTGTAGTTTTTCCAGAAGAAATATTGCTGCCTATGAGCAAGCTCCTGTCAAACAATTAGTTGGTAGGTGTTAATCTCATACTAGCCTCAATTAATTAAAAGAATACAGTGAAAAGTAAAATTATGAACATTTATAAACCATGCAAAAGCTCTTTCCTTCACCAGTTCCTACACAAATAAATATATCAACCATATTCTACACCTGTGTTGCATGGATACGTGGCTGAGGAAGGGGAATAGGTAAATGTCCTAATGTTTCATAAAAAATGCTTAGTGGCATCAGGAAGGAAATTAAAAGGTGTAAGGAACTGGTGGAAAGGTCCAAGGCAAAAACTGTTTCTTTGCCTACTGCTCCTTCCTCAGGCGATACCCCACTAACAGCAACAAGAACAAGAGGGGGCCTGCTCTGCATTGGAAAAAGCTTGGGCATTGGAAGACCGTAAGCACTTGGATGCTTTAATTAGTAGAGCAAACTATTCTGGAGGGGTATCTTAAATTTTCTGAGAAATCCATATCTTCGAGAAGCCTTTGCCTTTGCTTGCAGCCGCATCATGCAAGGCTATATAATTCCTGGGTACAATAGAGTTAGGGAGCGACTCATGAAGCAAGAAAGGAGGCACATAGAGACTCTACTGGAGAGCACAAACAACACATGGGCAGAGAAGGGAGTCACAATCGACCAATCATCAATTCCGTTGCTGTTTCTGAGAAGGCAACTATGTTCTTGAGGGCTGATAATTGTAGGTGTACAAATCAAAAGATTGATGATAAGTTGAGGAGTGTTATTGAAGAAGTAGGTCAACAAAAAGTGGTACAAATCATTACAGACAACGCTGCAAACTGCAAAGGTGTTGGTCTCATAATAGAAGCTGAATATGATAACATATTTTGGACACCATGTGTTGTGCATACCCTCAATCTTGCTTTGAAAAGTATATGTGAACCTAAAATAGGAAACAACCCTTCTGAAGAAGAAATATTTGCTTGGAGGTAACTTGAATTTATGCATGATGTTAAAACTGAGGCTGCTATGATAAAGAATTTCATAATGAATCATGCCATGCGGCTTTCTATGTTTAATGAGTTTAGCCATTTGAAGTTACATTCTATTGCTTAAACAAGATTTGACCTCAGTTGTATGTTGAAACAGTTTGTTGAGGTAAAAACAGCCCTCCAACAATGAGCATCTACAAAGATGATGCTCCAGCCCTCCAACAATGAGCATCTACAAAGATGATGCTCCAACTACCCAACTTGTTACTTGTCAAGGACAAGATACTTAGTGATTTATTGTGGGACAAGGTGGACTACATTCTTAGGATTACTATTACTATGAAATGATACATATGGCTGACATCGACACACCATGTCTTCACTTAATGTATGAGATGTGGGGTTCGATGATCGAGAAAGTGAAGAAAGAGATATATCGATATGAGGGGAAGGAAGAAGATGAGGTGTCAGACTTATACTTGGTTATTCATGACATATTGATTGCTAGGTGGACAAAAGAAAATAATCCACTTCATTGTTTGGCGCATTCAGGTACCGATCTACAAGAATAAAGGGGATATTCAAAGTTGTACTAATTACCGGGGAATTAAGTTGATGAGCCATACTATGAAGCTATGGGAGAGAGTTATCGAGCATCGCTTGAGAGCAATAACGCGGGTCTCTATGAACCAATTTGGTTTCATGCCCGGAAGGTCAACCATGGAAGCCATTTTCTTAATAAGACAAGTATGGAGCAATATAGGGAGAAGAAGAAGGACATACACATGGTTTTTATTGATTTGGAGAAGGCTTATGATAAAATACCAAGGAATGTTATGTGGTGGGCCTTGGACAAACATAAAGTCCTAACAAAGTACGTCGGGCTCATTAAGGACATGTACAACAATGTTGTGACTAGAGTTCGAACAAGTGATGGAGACACGGATGACTTCCTGATTAGGATAGGACTACATTAAGGGTCAGCTTTGAGCCCTTATTTGTTTGTCTTAGTGATGGATGAGGTCACAAGGGACATACAAGAGGACATCCCTTGGTGTATGCTTTTTGCGGACGATGTAGTGCTAATGAAAGCCGGACATGAGTGAATCAGAAACTGGAGTTATGGCGGGAGACTTTGGAGTCCAAAGGTTTTAGACTCAGTAGAACTAAAACTGAGTATATAAGATATGACTTCGGCACTACTACTCGGGAGGAGGAAGATATTAGTTTGGAAGGTCAAGTAGTGTCTAGGAAGGATACTTTTTGATATTTAGGATCAATGCTACAGAGAGACGGGGATATTGATGAAGATGTTAGCCATAGAATCAAAGCAGGGTGGATGAAGTGGCGACAAGCATCTGGTGTCCTATGTGACAAAAGGGTACACACAGAAGCTAAAAGGCAAGTTTTATATGACGGCGATTAGACCTCCTATGTTGTATGGTGCAGAATATTGGCCTACGAAAAGACGACATGTTCAACAGATAAGTGTCGCGGAAATACATATGTTGCGTTGGATTTGCGATCATACAAGGGATTGAATTCGGAACGATGATATACGTGATAGATTAGGGGTAGCACCAATTGAAGAAAAGCTTGTCCAACACAGGTTGAGATGGTTTGGACATATCCAACGGAGACCTCCAGAGACACCGGTGCGTAGTGGAATCCTAAACCAGGATAGTAACGTCAAGAGAGGTAGAGGAAGACCGAAGTTGACTTGGGTAGAGGCAATAAAAGGAGACTTGAAAGGATGGAATATACCCAAAGACTTAGCCTTAGATAGGAGTGCTTAGAAGACAGCTATTCACGTGCCTGAACCTTGATTGTTTCTGCTGGGTTTCAACTCTAGCCTACCCCAACTTGTTTGAGACTTAAAGGCTTTGTTGTTGATTGTTTGGCGCATTCACTTAATCCAAGGTACCAATAGAAACTAAACTTGTCTCATTCAGATTTTTCTTCATTCATTAAAATTATAATGCCAAATTGCCGATTGCAGATATTACAGCAAAAGGTGGCTTGAAGAAGGTGTTAGCCATGCCCGTGAACCACCCCACAAGGATGAAGGGGTATAAAAAATGAGGATGAATTGCTTCAAGAAGTTCTTTAGCATGCCAGAAGAATTGGCTAAAGTAAAAGAAGAGTACTCAAGGTTCTCTAGTTGTTCAGAAGAATTTAATGATCCTGACTCAATCTATGATAGATGGGCTGTTTCGCCTATGACTTGGTGGACAAATCATGGACAATCTATTCCCTCATTGATGAGTTTGGCCACCAAATTGCTTAGCCAACCAGCCTCATCTTCTTGTTGTGAAAGAAATTGGAGCACCTATAGCTTTATCTATAGTGTCAAGAGAAATGCCTTAACTCCAGAGCGTGCTGAAGATTTAGTCTTTGTGCACTCAAATCTGAGTGCATCTGTCAAGAACTGCTGCATACAAGACAGGAGAGAGAAGGATGTGGGATGTGGGAGGAGATTCTTTTGATTCACTTGGTGGTACTGGCATTCTTGAAGTGGCTGATCTCTCCCTTGATGAGCCTAAATTGCAAGCTGTATCTTTTGGTTCAGGTGATCTGCGGCTTGATGTTGTGAATGAGAATGAAACAAAAGACAAATGGGGAATAGGAACTTGATGTGAGCCTGAATTGCAAACCTAAATGCCTTTTACTAATTTCTTAAATTTGAGACTACTATATTTGAGAACTTGAGAGTTGAGACTTGAGACCTACTGAGTTGTAATAAGAACTTAAGTAGTTAAGTAGATTGCAACGTTTCATTGTTAATTTGTTATCAGTTTTAATATGTGTTATTATCTTTTTATTTTAAAATAGTGAAATGTTTCATTCTTGTTGGGTTTCAACTCTAGCCTATCCCGACTCGCTTGTGACTGGAAGGCTTTGTTGTGTTGTTGTTGTTGTTGTTGTTGTTGTATACTAGTAAAATGTATCCATGAATCGGATTTTTTAGGAAATTGTTGTATTCTTCCAATACCGATACATATATCCGTATCTGTGCTGCCTAGTTCTACACAAGCACTAATATCAAGTTCGTGCGACTTTCTGTTTTTTGATAGGTTCTAGCAAGCAAGTCAATATAATAAGGCCCAACAGAGCAACTTCAGCTAGGTTTTGAAAGGAGGGATGACGCTGCAAGAGCAAGACGGTAGACAAAAGCTAAAAACTGGTGCTCAAGTGTGAATGTGTGATTCTAGGCCAAAAGATCACCTTGTTTGTTGGATGTGCCATTGCATTTCGGAAATTGGCATTTTGAAGGAGCTCGAGAAAGAAAAGGCAGTGTGGTTACCTGCATCATCAGCAAAAACAATGAGCAAGCCATTTCCTCAGTTGCAGACAAAACTACTGAATATGGTATCACTCACATTATATACTTGATATACTCTGGTCGCTGCCAGTATTTTAGGTACTTGAGGTACCCGATAAATGCCTCATCCTTGAAATATCTATTCTGCGCTAGATCTATTCAGGAAAAGAAAAGGCATTCAAATCTTCCATGCAGTCCCAAACATGATGCGCATCGCCGCATTGAACAAGAAAGTTCAAGTAAAAATCAAGGAGCGCACAAAATGATGAAATTCAAGCAATACTACTAACAATACCCTGTTCGCTTAAACTTATCAACCTGGCTTATTAGCCATGGTAAAATATTTTTTTCTGCACAACAAATCAGCGAACGGTACTTTTCAGCCTGGCTTTTCAGCGAAGCGAACAGGGCTGCCTTAGCTTAGCAATCATACCATTGATAAGAAATCACTCATGATGCCCATGCAGACAGGACCAGTTTGAATAGCGGGGGAATGGGATTTAGGCTAGCGCTAAAAATTCCTAAGCAATTTAGCTCCCTTCTCAAGCAGGAACTTACTGACAAACACACACTACTACGAAAATTTTCAGTTCGTTGCAATGGATTGCTAAGTTACTAGCAGTGCAACCCCTATTAAAATTGGTCACCAACCGATGCAGCAAGGCGTTCCGTAGATGCATGCAACGTCAGACTAGCTAATCCTAATCCTAACCAGGTGAGATGAAACAAGAGAATGGAGGACAGTACAGTGGATGTAGGTAGGGTTGGCGAGGCACTGCACGAACTCCAACTCGAGTAAGAACCGCCGGCTCCCATTGTCAGGGTCCTTGTACGGCGGCGGCTTCCCGCCCGCGCCAGGGTTGGACTCGACGTCGGCCATGAGGGTTCGACCGGTTGAACCCAGGGGCGGATCTGGTAATAAAGGGACAAGGGTGTACACATGTACATCCAATAATTTTTACAAAGAGTTAGAAGTTAGTAGGCATCAAATAGTCAAATAGGTTGAGGTTAGAGTTTGAGAACTCGGTTTCGCACGGCAGACAGGGAAGACAAAGGGGGGGATACCTGGTGGGCGCTCTTCGCCGGCGGCGGCGGTAGCCCACCCAGTCGTCGCAGAGACAGAGAGAGAGAGCGCACGCAGGGTGTGAAGGTGACGGATGCAGCGGCGGCGGCGGGTGCCACCCAACTAGGATCGGATCTAGGAAAGAGGGAGGATTGATCTGGACCGAGGCACTGTCGGCGCTGTGAACCAGGCAGCGGCGGCGGCAAACGGAGCGCGAGGAGGGAGACGGGAACGAGGGAGGTGGTAGACGATTGGGCCTGGGTGGAGACTTTGGCATTTCACCCATCCTCAAAAACTGGTTTCACACTTTTACCATCCCGCAAAACGGTTTCGCTCGTTTGCCATTATGAAACTGGTCCCGCTGAAATATATTTTGGGTAGTTTTAATTCGTGGGGAAAAAAAGAAGACACGTTCTTCCGCTTCTACCCTAGCCTGCTTTCTCATTATATGCTGACGGCCGGTAGCCGTGACCTCGTCAGCCGTCAGCGAACGGTCGTACAGCTAATAACGCACTAACCAGCGGCATGGAGCTCCGCCGCGCCGTCGGAAATGGCCGACCGTGCTCTCGTCCGATCCGTCCGTCTCTACTCTAGTCTTAGCTCTGAGAACGAGGAAAGCAAGAACAGAGGTGCATGGTAGGTGAGCAGCAATGGCCAGTGGCGCCATCGACGATGGATGGCGCGATAATGTCCGACAGTTCTTGAGCAAGTAAAAGGAGACAGTGATTAGCGAGAGAGAGAACAAAGACATGGATGATCCTGAGCTCAAGTTCTATAGGAAGATGAAGCACTCCATGGCCACCGAGGGGTTGTGGCCCAGCACCTTCTTCTGCTCCTCCTACTCTCCTCCGCTTAACAACGCCGCCGCCGCCGCCCATGCGGCGGCGGTACGAGCGGGCGGGTTGTGTTCGGCACGGCCGCATCATCACCGCGAGATCCTCTAGCAGCGGCAGAGGCCATCGGGAGCAACGGAAGCGGTGGGGCGGGCTGGGAACTCAACGGAGCTGGAGCGCGTGGCGGCCGAGGCGTGGGCGCTCGGGGCCACCGCGTGGGAGGAGGCCTCCGCGTTCGCCGGGCGACGTCCGACTCCATCGCCACCCGCGAAGACGGGAGGGCGCGCCAAAGTGCCTTCTGCTTCGCTTCGCGCTTCGGCGCCGGGTGACCACGGCGTTCTTCCCCAGCGCTGGCTGGCGGAAGGGTCCGCGGTGACGGTGGTGGGGGGACAGCGTGGCGCGCGCCCGAGTACGCCGAGGCGCTGGAGCGGGCGCGCGCGAACAACGGGCGGTGCTGGTGGCGCAGATTCGTGGTGGAGCTCAGCAGCGGCTCACTGCCACCGACGGCGATGAGGAGCCGCCTAGGATACTCCACCTTAGGAGGGGCCGCTTGGACGACGACGACAGCATAGGGGTAGAAGGGGAAGGGTGCATCTTCTATTTTTTCATAAATTAAAACTATCCAAAATGTATTTCAGCGGGTTACACCAGTTTCATAATGCCAAACGAGTGAAACCACTTTGCGGAATGGTAAAAGTGTGAAACCAATTTTTGATGATGGGTGAAATGCCAAAGTCCCGCCTGGGTGTGGGGTGGAGAATTTTTTTTATTTTTTAACCTTTTTAAATATTTTTTAATAACACACTCATTTTTTACTTTTTTTAGGAACTACTCATTTTTTACGTTTATTTCTAACCTTTTTTTTCGCGCGTTGCACGGTAGTACTGGTTTGTCGTGCCATCCGAAACGACGTGACAAGACTCATCTTATTATCTTATTATTACAAAACCTATCTTTTCTATATGCCATACTTTCTAGTTTGAGTTATTCCACTTAAGATCATTAAGATACCAAAAAACAATAATATAAATTTTAGCAACATACTAGATTTTTTTCAAAAAAAAATAGCAACATATTAATCGCATGATAGGGCTTATTGCCTCAGAAAAATCACATCTTTCTTTTTTTATATGAGGCCAAATATACATTTTATAAGAAAATTGAAGTTTTGAGTTTTTTTATTTAAGATCGTTAAGATGCTTTCAGCAACACATTAACCACGAATCCGGGTTTGTCGTCTTAGAAAAAACATCTCTCTTGTATGATGTCAAATAAAAATACAATTTATATAAAAATTATAGCTCTCGATGAGTCTATAACTTAGCTTGAGTGTAGTCATTCGAGGTTGTTAAGATACTCTAGAAATTAATATAAAGTTCAGCAACATATTAATTATGTATCATGGCTTGTCACCTTAGAAAAATCATATCTTTCTTGTATGTGTCAAAAGTGATTTTTTTACATGAAAATTGGAGCACTCAAGGAGGTCTACAATTTTTTAGTTTTGAGGTTTTTCGTTTGAGATTGTTAAGATGCTCCAAAAAATACTATAAAATTTTAGCATATTGATCACATATCTGGATTTGTCATATTAGAAAAATCACATCCTTCTTGTATGGCTTCATGTAAAGTTGTAGTTATCGATGAGTTTTACGACTTTCTAATTTTGAGTTTTTTAATTTAAGGTTGTGAAGATCTTACTCAAATTATAAAAAAAACATAATCTAGAATGTTGTAGATCTCAGCGAAAACTACAACTTTTATATAATAATTATCTTTACACAACGACGTAGAAGAAAAATATATTTTTTCTAAGATGATAAGCCTTCATACGTGATTAATATACTGCTAAAACTTTATAGTACTTTTTGAAGCATTTTAACGACCTCAAATGAAAGTTTACACAAAAAAAGGACCACAAGTGGGAAAAAAATAAACTGAAAATTTATAGATCTCATCGAAAAAATACAATTTTCATATAGAAATTATCTTTTTGACACCATACAAAAAAAAGATACTCCCTCCGGTTCTATAAAACAAGTCGTTTTGGACATCGACACGGTCTTTAAGAAACGACTTTGACTGTAACTTTTTGCTATAAAATATTTATAAAATATAGTCAATATATACTTTTATGAAACTACATTTCAAGATGAATCTACTTACATCACTTTTATATTTTCAAACTCAACCCAAAAGAAGTTATTTGTAGTCAAAGTTTAAAATGTTTGACTTAAGACAACCTCAAAACGACTTGTTTTAGAGAACCGAAGGGAGTATATGATTTCTCTAAGGTGACAAGTCCTGACACGTGATTAATATGCTGCTAAGTTATTTTTTTCGAGCATCTTAACAACCTCAAATGAAAAAACTCAAAACAAATATATCTCACCGAGATCTACAATTTTTATATGAAAACTTCTTTTCTTAACACTATATAAGAAAATATAAGAAATATATAATTTTTCTATGGTGACATCTTAACAACCTGGAATGAAAAAACTCAAAACAAAACATTTGTAGATCTCATCAAGATCTACAATTTTTAGATACAGAGTATCTTTATTTGATGTCATACAAGATAGATATAACTTTTCTAAGTTGACAAGCCCCGATACAGGATTGATATGTTACCCAAACTTTATATTATTTTTTTAGCATCATAATGACCTTAAATGAAAAAAAATTCAATACCAGAAAGTTGTAGATTTCTCTGGAAGCTACAATTTTCATATAAAATCATCTTCATCTGATATCGTATAAATAAGATACGATTTTTTTTTAATGTAGAACCTTGCCATGTCGTTCCGTGTGACGCAACAAAGCAGAAAACCAAAGCAGAGTTTAAGGTGTTTTCGAAAAATATACCATGCAAAAGCAAAATTGCTTCTAAAAATATAGTTTAAAGTTTCACCTGTTTGGTTAGCGTCCAGTTTTTTCTTTTACACCAGAAACACCTTTTTCCACTATTTTTAGATAAAGAAAACTAATCAGGCCTCTACATTGACGCATGAATGTATATATATAGCCCAAGATGCAACCAAATAACAGTGAGGCTACCGAGAACAAAAATTCAAAAGAGTTGTATGGGAAAGAAAGCTAAAGCTAGTTTAAGCTCCAATCCTGTTGCTAAATCTCCATCCAAACAAACTAAAAATCTCCTATAACAGTGACTTCCAACTTTTTACATCCTATCTTCAAAACATGTCTCTCCTCTTTAAAGAACCTTTTTCCACTGTGACGTGTTAGCGGCCTATATAGGGCAAGCCAAACAAAATGTTGTTATATATATATATATATATATATATATATATATATATATATATATATATATATATATATATATACACACACACACACACACCATATCGTAATCTTAATTCAGATTTCTAATGCATCTAAGCGGTTGTATTCCTCGTAATTTATTGTAAATGAAGACCCATATCGGTTATGTTCGAATACTAGCAACTTCATCGACATGCAGGGCTCACATATTAGTCAAAAAAATAATGTGACTTATAAGCATTGTCTCTACATTTTGCATGGCTTCAACCAAGTGCTTGTTTAGTTCTCAAAATTTTGTAAAAATTTTCAAGATTCTCCATCACATCGAATCTTTGGACGCATGCATGAAGCATTAAATATAAATAAAAAATAAAACTAATTACATAGTTTAGACGAAATTCACGAGACGAATCTTTTAAGTCTAATTAGACTATGATTGAACACTAATTGTCAAATAACAACGAAAGTGCTACAGTACCATTTCCCAAATAATTTCGTCAACTAAACAAGGCCCAAAGATCTCACGCTTTGCCAAAATTTTGCCACCGCTGCTAAACGAACCGTTGGTTAGTTGTACTATCACACTCTCTAAAAAGACGGAGGAGGCCGACTTACACAGACTCAGGCCCTGGCAAGGACAGCAGGAAAGGCAGTAAGGAAGGCACTGAGCGAAGATGATCGTGGGAGAATAGCCTTTTT